CTGTTCATCATTAATGCTCAATCAGCACTTAATTAATCACATAATTATCTCATTAACTTTAACACTCTTTTAGAGTGGGACCATATATGCTCCGAGCAGTGTTAATTTAACACTCGGGATTTGACTGTGTACATTCGGCAGGCAACTATACAATACTATTAAAATAGCGGGCCAAATCGGCTGCCAGGCCACCGAATTACTTTTATAAATATGGTTCAGAAAGAAGTTTCAATTCTGGCACTCATAGACATGAAGAATCAGCATGTGAATCTCAGCAATGGTGACAAAATATTCGGATAATTTTTGTGATATTTGAACGTCACAAAACAAGGCAGTAAAACGTCACAACAAAAAATAACTAAAATAAATGCAAATAGTAAAAATAAAAGAAAATACTAAGACAATGCAGCTGCATCATTTATTCGTGTTGCAATGCATGCTGGGAGCCATGGATGAGTTATGATTGGTGCACCCAGAATGCAATGCAACATGAATCTGTCTGATGATCATCACCATTGTTGAGATTCATATGCTGAGTCTTCATGTCTGTGTGTCTAAACAGCACAGATGTTCTAAACTGGTGTGCAAAGTGTTTTTAAAGCTTTTCCTATTATTTCATGAAAATACAATTGTGATCAATAACATTAACTATATTACACACTACCACTGGTGACATCAGTGAACCTGGCTACTACACGATAACAGCATCATTATCAATGATATGGCCAATATAATCTGAACACATTTTCTCTTGGTTTTTCTTGCCATAACAAATGTGTTTTATAAACACAGTTACAGCAACCAGACAAAAATTAATATTAAAAAGCCAAGGGTCTAGAGCCCGACTAAAGCAAACACTTATCTCCACAACAGTGACTTCAAATTGTATTCTTGACAATTGTAAATTGTCATCTTGAGAAATTTAATGTCTTTTTTTTCAGTTGATTTCATCTAAGTCTGTGGCTGAAGTCTGTTGTAATTTTTGTGTTTCTCTTTTCTTCAGTGATTCGGCTAGTTAACAGCAGCTGTTCATCATTAATGCTCAATCAGCACTTAATTAATCACATAATTATCTCATTAACTTTAACACTCTTTTAGAGTGGGACCATATATGCTCCGAGCAGTGTTAATTTAACACTCGGGATTTGACTGTGTACATTCGGCAGGCAACTATACAATACTATTAAAATAGCGGGCCAAATCGGCTGCCAGGCCACCGAAAATTGTCCCGGTTCTCCCGATGGCCAGTCCGCGCCTGATTTCCACAGACACGCAGGACGTGCAGGATTTATATATTGTCTTTTTGCGGCTTAATATTCACAGACACAAGTCCATATCGCGTTTTGATTCAAGTGTACTGACCTACTTTTGATTTATTCGTCCAAAATGTGGCATATTCCGTCCGCGTTAGGCTGTAGGACTTCCGTTTTTATGACTGGATTCTACAAACCAGTCTGTTTTCCGCATCGAGGAAATTATAGGGCCGTATGTCTCAGAGTAAGCTAATTAGTGCAATTTGGGAACGAAATCAATTAAATCTGTATGTGGATGTGTGTAAATATTCAAATGCAATCCCCTTTGTAATCGTTAACATTTTCAGAAGTAACTAATTTAATTACACATTTTTTTCTTAGTAACTAACTGATTACAGTTACATTTATTTTGTAATTAAATTACGTAATGTCGTTACATGTAACTAGTTACTCCCCAACACTGATCATAGTATTACAACTGGAATGAAACAGTGACGACTAGCCGTTCTCTCCTATTAAAGTATGTAACATTCAACACAACCAAATTAAAGGTGGGGTAAGCGATTTCTGGTAGCCAATGTTGACATCTGAAATCACCAAAACAAACACGCCCCTACCCCAAAAGTGTCTCGCACCTATTTTGATAGCTCCACCCCACACATACGTACGCAACCCAGGCAACGGATTAGTTCTGTGAAACAAAGCAAAACTGCTGCTGTATTCCATTCATGAAGTATTTTTAATGGTGTGAAAGTGTTATAATTCATCAAACTGTGTTTGTTACTTTGGTTAAGAAAAACCAAGTGCAGAAATACTGGGTTAGGGATGATCCATCGTTTCATTATGGGGGAGGGGTTGGGAGTATATATAAAATTATTGCAGAATGGAAATTGCGATTTTATTACACCGCATTTAATCTTGGTGTTTATCGAACATTATAATCACACTTCTTGCTTGTACTGCATGTGTTTGTTTAGAAGAATGTGTTATGTTCTTTTGTGTTGCTGATGTGGTATAACCCTCTCTTCGATCAATGGTATATTCCCCTGGGGCTGCACTCTTCAGTCTGTGTGAAACATTCTGAAGAGAGGTATGTCTCTTTCGGTGTGAAACATTCTGAAGAGAGATTGTGAAACCAGAACAGATGATTGTTGTTGTAACACTGTCCCATTTCATGCTTTCAGTACACACCCAAGAAAAGGCATTACTGGTGTTTGTCCTTATTCGAGGTCGATCCTTTGGTGCATCCAGTGTTCCACTACATATTGACACAAATTTCAAATGATTTTCAAGATCGTTTTGTCGCGTCCAGTGTACTAGACAGACTTTAGCTGTCGCGTACATCCTGAGTAGTTATGCCCCTTACTGCTGATTGGCTACACGTTTGTTTTGCTATTCGGCCCGAATCGGTTTTCTAAAGTGGTTTTGAAAAATCGCTTACCCCACCTTTAACAAGCCTCCACTCACACTGGTGTAGACTGTTTCTCGAGTTCAAACCCCCGTATGTTGTCCAGTCGAGCTGCTTTCATGAAGTTCACCTCTGGCACCACTAGAGCCTGCAAAACGACAGCTCACCAATCTCAGGACCGCTTTCCAGCATGAGGGAACTGCTCATACAATGAGAGTCTGTAGTCAGCCTGCGGTAAGCCAGCCTCTCCGGACTAACCCCGTACGCGCTCGGATTGCTGACAGTCCACCGCGCGGATAACGCCAGGCCAGGCGCGCTGCGACGACACTTTCATTTACTTTGTTTGGGAATCACCACAAGGCACCGTAAACAGCGTCTTAAATGACAAGGATGGGAAGTGCTCGCACACAGCCTGAACTCTCTGGAAGTTTGCGGATTTCTGCCTCCAAGTAAATGGATTATAATTGCGTGTATTAGTTGTCAGCTGACTGGAACCCTTGGTTTTGGGTATGACCGGCTAATAACCGCATGCATTAGCGAGATTGCGTTTTTTTCCCCTTGCTGCAGAACAGTGTTCAGCCTTCTGATAGCACACTGTGGATTTGTTACACCTTGCATGGAGTTGAATGAGCGCACGCTGCGATTTTGGCAACCTGGCAAGCTGCAAGACACCCCAGTGCACCGGAAAGTAATAATGCATAGTGTTGTAATAATGTTGCGATATACTGCATAGGCACTCAAATTAAGTTGTGGATCCGGAAAGCACATTTTAATTTCATAATGGATGCTACCGAACATACCTTTTGGATACGGGCTGTAAAATGAATAGAAACGTTCGTAATTTCGCGTTCTTCCATTGAGTTTGTATAGGTTACTCAGATAAAATGCCATTTTGCTATAAGAACGTCAACATGTTTACGTAATGTAAAAGGAACCATATTTAGCGCACAGTTCCCGAAATCGTTTTATTAACTGTGCACTAAACTAATAAAACGGTACGCTTTTTGTAACGGTACGCACTTTAAGGGAGACTCTAGGACTGTGTTACAGCATGTTCAAGTAACAATTGAAACAACGTTGCACTAGGAACGCTTTCTCTTGTGCCAACTTTAATCAAACCCAAGCATTAGCCTATATAGGGATGTTAAATTGATGTTATTTAAAACCGTGTGGTCTTAACATTTCCTTGCTAACATTTTTGGATATAGCCTAAACATCTGGGATCTATATCCTTTTTCAAGATTTTGTCAAGGCAAGCATGTAATATTGCATTAGATGGTTTGCTGAATATACCAGATCAAGTGCTTACAAAAGTTTAGTGAAAGGATAATCAGTTTTAGAAAAATATGCTCAACCAAATGCTTGAGATGTCCATTGATGGTAGAAGTGCACTTTCAGTTCTGCATTGATATCACTGATTTGCACAGAAATTGATCATTGTATTTATATATAAAACATTTGATATACCTTTAAAAACATATTCTTATGACAGATGAGGCATGTATCAAGCTATCACAGCACTATTCCTGACAACAGCAGTAGTGTCTATTGTATTTTTGCAGAATCTGTGGTTTCCAGGGTCATTTTGATTGAGACAATTAGATTTATTTTCCGCATTAAAATAAGTGAAAAAAAAATGTTGGTTTTCGTTAAAAACTTTTTTTGTTTTTATTGCCCACATAAACTGAACAAATGAATAATTTCCCCTTGTTTTTCTGGGTGTGACCATTAAAGGGTTAACGAAGAGGGTAACTGAAGATCATGGGAGAGGCGGCTCCGACCCAGGCCACCCCAAGTGGTTTTGCACCCATGTTGGGCGTCGGGATGGGAGGATCAGTCACACCAATCGCCACTTCAAGAGGATCAGCCGTTCCTCAGCTCCACAGTGCCATAGTGGACCGCTTGCGTGCCAGAATAGAGCTGTGCCGGCGCCATCACTCCACCTGCGAGGACCGCTATGTGCGCAGTCTGGTGGAAAGTTCGGACCGGGAACACGAGAGCACACTCCATTACTTAAACATCGTCCATCAGGGCCCCACGAACAGGAAGACCAAGGGCAATAGATCGGCCTCTCAGCAGCCTCCTGAATACAGCAGAGTGAATGGGCAACATAAAGCCCACAGTTCATCGGAGGCGGAATCCAAAATTTCTTCGCAAATAGCAGTAAGTTTTATGGGTTGTATTAACTACGCCCACATAATAAATCTTATAATCTGTCTAATGCACATGGGGACACATGTCAGACCAATTCCCCAGAGAATGGCATCAACACACTGATATGATGTGATTACTGTGGGTGGGTGAGGGAGAGATGGGGGCGTCTGTTTAATTAAAAAGGGCCCTGCAGGCAGGCACATGATTCTTTAAAGGTCTTTTAAAAATATAGCAAAACAAAATATAACTTTTTAAAAGAGGTGGTGATTCAGTAAAATTGGATTTTTCAACAATGCAGATGTCCATTATACAGTACGGTCCCTCCATTTTCACTCATAAGTCACACTGGAAAATTATAGAATGCCATTGCATTGGATAAAATGGAAACCACATGGAATTTAATTTAAAGAAAGATATAGAATACACACACGTTTCAAGCAAAACATTTCACAAAAAGAAGTTTGCATGAATTAGTTATGAATTCGTGTATTAGTGTGATATTTTGCTATCTATTGATATTGCTATTTATTTTTAAAGGAATAATTCACCCATAAATTACACTGTTTAAAATTTTGAAATGAGTTTGTTTCTTCATCGGAACAGATTTGGAGAAATGTAGCGTTACATCACTTGCTCACCAATGGATGCTCTGCAGTGAATGGGTGCCGTCAGAATGCGAGTCCAAACAGCTGATAAAAACATCACAAAATTACAGAAGTAGGACTCATCCACACAACTCCAGTCGATTAATCAAATTAATTATCAAGCAATTATAAAGAATATCTCTTTGGTTTTGAGACTTTAGTCTTTGCAGCTTCAGGGATCTTATCTATGCACAATCAGCTTGTAACACTCCAAAGAGAAAGGACAACTTGAAATCGCAACATATGACCCCTTTAATTGTTGCTTGAGTTTCCAAATATTTTGTGGCACAATTTTATACAAGTGAATGCATATTTTCATAATTATTGAAAAGATTTCTTAGTATAGAAAAAAACTAAAAACTATGTTTTGTACTGTAGCCTCAGCTTTTGTAACTTAGGGAAACACTTGCAGTCAACAGGTCAGTTGTGGTTCTTTGTTCTCCTTCCTGATATTTAGTTTGACACCACTTGAGGTTGGTGCATCTACAGTGTTTAGTATCTCTGCTCATAGACACTGATGAGTGCTTTACTGTAATTCTGAAACCCTCTGTTAAGATAACACATTTTGTAGGCATTTAGGTAAAAAGCATGCTTGACAGAATAAAAGCAAAGAAGCAAAATTATGTCTTTTATCATAGAGATAGTCTTGCAAAATGCAAAATCATAAGGTAAGGCATCAGGTTTTCCTTTCAGCTGTGTACACCAATATCTATCCAACAAAACAAAGGCACAAGCAGAAATTGCTGGATGATGAAATCTCGCGAACACTTTGTGAATGGCCTCGTGTTTTGTTCCATACCATGCATTGTCATGTTCTATTATCAAAGGTTTGATAAATTGCTCTCAAAGCACCTTCTTGAATGATGGCTTTCCCATAAAGCCATTTGAAGCGTGCAGTCTGCGTATAAATGTTTAGAGCTATTCAATACATGTCCTGGTTCTGTTTACTCGAAATCAAACAGGCCTTGAAAACACGATTGTCAGAGGACTGCCCAGTAATTAAGTGTTATGGGCTTATGGATGAATTTGTTTTTTCCTAATTTCAGAGTTATGACCAACTTGGGAACATAGCGGGATTGTGGAATATCCTCTCAAGGAAGAGAAAGTCGGATATTATGAATGCTACGTTTGCTTATCTAAAGAGATCAGCCTCAGTTAAGCCCAGTTTATGTCAATTGAACAATGTTCAGTCATAGTCTTTAATGATATACTGTTCATTCAGTACTTCACAAAAAAAAAAATCAAAACAAAAAGTGCATTGTACTGAATGTGCACTTTTTCAGTTTACTTCAAATCTTCAAATCAAAAGTATATTAAAAAAACTGTACTTGCAGATATTAATATTAATGAAATAAAATGCCAATTAAGTGGACTTAAACAGAGGCACTTTCATGACAATGTTTCTAAAACACACTTAAATGCACTTTTTAAAAAGTGCAGTGTAATAACATCAAATTTTAAATAATTATGTTAATAATCTTTTGTCTTGCTTTAAAGAATTACACTTATTTTGGTGTGTTAGCGAACTCCACTAAAGCACTTAATTTCAACTGTAGTGTTTTATTCAATATTACATTTAATATATTCTACTAAATTGCAACTTCATCATTACAAATGTGACAAAAAAATATAAATATATTTACAATCTTAATATTTTTGTTCACTATAAAACCTGTCAGTACATTTGGCAGTACACTTTCTTGATTACATACTGTTTAAAGATGTACTTAAGTCCTACTTAAATGAATAAAAAGCACTCACTTTAGCTAATTGAATTTAATATGAATTTAAACAATAATGCATTTGAATTTAAATGCAGTTAAGTGTCTGGAAACATAAAATTTTATTTGCACTAAAGTATATTCTTAAGTACCCTTTTTAAAAGTATACTAAAGTGTACTTTCTTTTAACTAGAGAAACTATAAAAATTTAAAGCAACAGTTCACCCAGAAGTGAAAATTCTGTCATCATTTGCTGAAATCCATGTCGTTCCAAACCTGATTGACTTTCTTTCTTTCGTGGAACACATTCATTTACTTTTTTTGTTTTGACTTTGTGAATTTTGGACAAAAACATTGGACAATTCTTCAAAATATCTTATGTGTTTCATGGAAGTGAAATGTGAGTTTGGAAAAATAAAGGTGCTTCACAGCGATGCCATAGAAGAACCATTTTTGGTTCCACAAAGAAGCATTCAGTCAAAGGTTCTTTAAAGAACCATCTCTTTCTTACCTTTTTATAATCTGAAGAACCTTCTTTCGCCACAAAGAAGCTTTTGTGAAACAGAGTTCTTCTATGGCATCGTGAAGCACCTTTATTTTTGAGAGTGTATGGTGAGTATAAAGACAGATTTTTTATTTTTTAGTGAACTGTCCCTTAATCCCTTATTGGAAAGATTGAGCATCTAAACCAGTGTTTAAGTATGTAGCAACATAATTGGAGATAATTAAGCATGACAGGCAGGCATTACAAATAATAGGTGGAAAAAGGAAATGTCGAAGTGTTTCCTGGTGTTTCTTGGCCATAGTGCTTTAGGATTGGAAACTGAAGGTGGTCCAGGCTTCGATTCACTCAACCTGAATGTGGAACAATCAGTCTGGCTCCTTGGAGGCCACTTTAAGCACTTTAAGGGAATATGAATGGGTCCCTGGACAGTTTGTCCCATGGTTGATGTTCAATGCCTAAGCAATTGGTTAGAAAGTCAAGGACAGATACAAATATTTGACTGTCAGCGTAAAGTGTGGTCCAGTTTGCAGTTTCTAATGGCCAAGAACTATCCACTTTGACTGGACGTGTTTTCTGACTGACATGTAAAATCAGCAAGCGTGGTTTGTTTTGTGTTTGGGTTGATTTTGTGAAACTCTTCAGTGTCTTTTAAAGATTGAATGCATTAATCTGGCAATCTTCAGCCAAGCCAATGGGACATTTCTCAACATCACTCATTTTATCAACCTGATACTTCATAAAGATGACATTGTTTCCAGACGGACTGGTGCATTCTGTCTTATGGAAGTTGTGAAAGGATCGTCAGATTGCCATTTTTTGTGTGCACTTTGCATCCGGCAGCCAGCAAACAGATTGTGGGTGATCTGTTGGTGCGCCGTCTGAGGATAAGTCTGAGGATTTTGCAGGATAGAAGGTTTGTTGATCATTTTAATCTGAGTTATGTGCAGCAACAAATGCATTGTATGCATTAAATGTGACCTATAAAACAAGATAAAAATGTACAAGTGGAAGGTTGAGGCATAAATAGAATAGAACTTTAGGAAACTCAAGTAGGGTTGCTCATGCTGCTTAAGTCAAATGCATTCCCTCCTCATCCACGCTGGCTCTCCTAGCGGTTTCTTTGTGAGGTGCACTTTGTGTATACCTCATGTTTTATTCACAGTCTGAGACATTACTGCAGCTTTGAAGAGTGCTGAAACCATTCGCCGTATACATCCCTACCTCTATTTGCACAACATAATGGCTGTGGGCAGAAATCGCCCTCTCAGCGTCTAGTAGCAGCCTCTGTTACCCAAATTCTGAGTCTTATTTTATTATAGTTAACCAAGGGAAATGATGAAACTGAAAGCACTTTCTAGACCATTCCGTACAAGTTGAAAATGTGCTCTGAAATGCACACCTGTGTCACAAAACTTAAGGAAACTTTTAATGGGCTGTATTAATAGTGTGGTATAGCAGTTATTGTGCTTGATTGCGGTCTCAAACTTTTTCAATTTCTTGTTTATCTCGTCGTTGAACAGGCAGCAAAGATGAAGATGATTACTTTTGCACATTGACATTTCTACATTACTTTCCCTGTTCGTGCATGTGGAACACTTTACCAAAATATTGTTATTTGGTCATTTATATAGTAATTGTCTTTGACTGTTTTGCTCTTTGGAGTTGTCCTTATGAGAACAGTGTGTCCTCTGCTGAGGGAAACATACAGAAAAAAAAAATTACCTTGACAACAGTTGATCAAACATAGGACTATGTATATACAGTATATATATATATATATA